GCCCGGTACTGGCCGGAGGCGTCCTCAGACCCCCCTTCTCCCCTCACCACTGTCCTGGCCTTATTACCGCCCCCGAACGACCCGTCGGAGCTCCCACCTATCTATCCCTGCCCGGAGGCTTGTCTGCACTCGCTGTCTCGGGTCTAACTTCCTGCCGTGCGCGCGCGTCTGGGATCCCGGAACGTAGCTGTCGAAACAGCAAAAACCCCCCACCCCTCCGCCCGCCCGTCCTCCCACGGATTTGACCGCGATGTCAGCTCCCCACTCCATCCCCTCTCTTTTCTCAGCGCTGCGAGTTCTCCTACGACTTCCCTGGGCACCCCTCCGGTCCTTGGCTAGCCCATCCTACCCCAGGGCCTCTTTGTTGGCTGCTCCAGGCCTCGGTTCCGCACTCCTCTCCCCTAGTCCGCCCAGGAGGACTCCCAGACGTGCACCGGAGCCAGCCCCCACGCCTCTCTCTCTCGCGCGCGCGCGCGCTCTCTCTCTCTCAGTCACACACACACACACACAGCCTTTAGGGTGTCTGGAGTTCGGTGTGATCAAGACCCCGTCAGTAACATTTCCGCGGTGCCTGGGCCTCTGCAAAGTGCGAGGCCATCCGTCCTTCCATCCTTGTCCTCCCTCACCATCCATCCATCGCCAAGGCCGGCCCATCTTCACCTCCTAAGCTTTCTCTGACCTCTGTCCACTTCTCACCACCACGGCCACTGCTAGATCCCAAACCACTCTTGTCCCCTCCCTGAACCGTTGTGAGAGTGTCTTTAGGAGGCCTCTAGGTTTCCTCCCTTGGCAGCCAGAGGGATGCTTAAATCATAAGTCATGGCACTTCCATTCCTTCTCCAAAGACAAAAAACACACACAAAAAAACAACCTTGGGAGGTTCCCATCTTGCTCAGGGTCTTGGGATAGAAGTGAAACATAATTCCTTACTGTGGTTTCCTCCCTTGCTTCTCCCGTCAACCTTACAGTTCCTTGAACAAACCGTGCTCCCTCCTGCTACAGGGCCTTTGCGCATGCTGTTCCCTCTACCTGGAATGTTCTTTCTCTACCTTCTTGTCTGATTAAGTTCTTATTCTTCAGTGATTATATTAATAATACAGTGTCATTCCCCAAAGAAGCCTTTCCTGACATTCATTTATTCCATCAACAGCAGTGCTAGCAGCCCAGGATACAGGGAAGTCCCAGCTTTTAGTAGGGGTTGGGGGAGAAAACACTAACCAAGTCCAGGGAATCCTGAATAAGGTGATTCCTGGTGATAGATGTCTGGCTGTTCAGAGGACAGCCAGCCAGGAAGTGTCAAAGAGGACAGAGTTAAAGGGGTGGGGGCAGGGGTAAGGGAGGGGCCAGATTGTGGAGGACCAGACCCTGGTGTTTGGATTTACTCTCAAGTCCCTGGGAGGAGGCCAGGTGAGAGTTGTAACAGAGAGAGCTCTTGTTCTGATCTGTGTTGTTAAAAACAGGGCTCTGAACTGCAATTCAATAATAAGAAGAAAACAACCCAAATTTTAAAATGGGCTACAGATTGGACCAGACAACTCACCAGGGGAGATATGTGAATATTTGCTAAGCACATGGAAAGATGCCCAACATCATTAAATATCTAGGAATGGAAATTAAAACCACAATGAGGTACTATTACACACCTATTAAAATGGCATAAAAAAAGGACACTACCAGTGCTGGTGAGGATATAGAACAACTGGAACTTGTATATAAGGGGAATTCAAAAAATTTGTGGAAAAATGGAATTAAAAGATAAAAATAAAAAGTATAAACCTTTTTTCTCAACATAAGCTCTATCAAGGTCAAGACACTTTTGTAAGCGATGATACCAGCGTTTAGTCCATCTCTGAAGAACTGAGGGCCCTGGGAATTTAACTGTACCAATGAGGTCTTTTTTAGGGTATTAACTGAAGAAAAATGGGTGCCCTGTACAGATTTTTTTAAGATTAGGAAAAAAAAAAAAAGTCAGAAGGAGCCAAATCAGGACTGTCAGGTGGATGCTTAATGATTTCCCACTGAAACTGTCACAAAATTGCCCTTGTTCGATGAGAGGGATGAACAGGAGCATTGTCCCAGCGGGGAGGGACTCTCTGGTGAAGCTTTCTGGGTGTTTTCTGCTAAAGCTTTGGCTAACTTTCTCAAAACACTCTCTTAATAAGCAGATGTTATCATTTTTTGGCCCGTGAGAAAGTCAACAAGCGAAATGCCTTGAGCATGCCGTAAGCCTTTCGCCAGGGGACCTTCCTTCTTGGCGGGTCCCCTTTTGCTTCACCTGGGCCACTTTTGCCTCTTGCTGGCAGCAGCTTTGATGACGCTTTATCTTAGGATCGTACTGATATAGCCGTGTTCCATCTCCCGTTACAGTTCTTCCACAAAATGCTTTAGGATCTTGATCTCACCTTTTAAAAATTTCCACTGAAAGCGCCGCTCGTCTGTCTGCAGCTGATCTGGGTGCAATAGTTTTGGCACCTGGGTAGAGAGTTTGCTCAACTTTAATTTTCAGTCAGAACTGTATCAGCTGGACCAATGGAGATGTCTGTGGTGTTGGCTATTGTTCGTGCTGTTAATCATACGTCCTCTTCAATTAGGGCGTGACAGAGGTGATTTTTTTCCCCTTGCAAATTGACGTGGATGGTCTGCCACTGCGGGCTTTTACTTCAGCATCATCTCATCCCTTGTTAAAACAAGTTATCCATTTGTAAACCGCTGATTTCTCTGGGGAATTGTCCCCATAAACTTTTCATAAAGCGTCAGTGATTTCATCATTCTCCCATCCACGCTTCACTGTAACATTTGATGTTTATTCTTGCTTTAATTTTAGCAGAATTCATGTTATTCTGATAAGGGTTCTTTTCAAACTGATGTCTTATCCTTCTTAATGCCTCATACTAGATCTTGTTCAGACACGTTGTAACTAGTTAGTACGAGTTTATTTTGGTGCAAAAAAAATTTTTGAAATCCATGAATAGTTTGTTTTTTTTTTTTTTTTTTTTTTTTGAGACAGTCTCACTCTGTTGCCCAGGCTAGAGTGCCGTGGCGTCAGCCTAGCTCACAGCAACCTCAAACTCCTGGGCTCAAGCGATCCTTCTGCCTCAACCTCCCGAGTAGCTGGGACTACAGGCATGCGCCACCATGCCCGGCTAATTTTTTCTATATATTTTTAGTTGTCCAATTAATTTCTTTCTATTTTTAGTAGAGACGGGATCTTGCCCTTGCTCAGGCTGGTTTCGAACTCCTGAGCTCAAATAATCTGCCCGCCTCGGCCTCCCAGAGTGCTAGGATTACAAGCGTGAGCCAAAACTATGGCGCCTGGCCATAGTTTTTTCATAATATGAATTCTCCATGAACTTTTAAAAAATTCCTCAGACAGTCTTGATTTGGCTCCTTCTGACTTCTTTTTGTTTCCTAATCTTAAAAAAATCTGTAAAGGGCACCCATTGTTCTTCAGTTAATACCATGAAAAAGACTGCATTGATATGATTAAATTCCCAGGACCCTAAATTCTTTAGAGATGGAATAAATGGCTGGTGTCATCACTTATAAAAGTGTCTTAACCTTAGGCTGGGCACGGTGGCTCACGCCTGTAATCCTAGCACTCTGGGAGGCTGAGACGGAAGGATTACTTGAGCTCAGGAGTTCGAGACCAGCCTGAGCAAGAGCAAGACCCCATATCTACCAAAAATAAAAAAATTAGCTGGATGTAGTCATGTGCATCTGTAGTCCCAGCTACTTGGGAGGCTGAGGCAAGAGGATTGTTTGAGCCCAGGAGTTTGAGGTTGCAGTGAGCTACAATGACACCACTGCACTCTACCTGGGAAGACAGAGTCAAGACTCTGTCTCAAAAAAAAAAAACCAAAAAACCAAGGGACTCCCCCACTCTCATAATGACTGTTTCTTGCTCCTTGGATTAGTTATTAGTCAGCTCAGGCAGCCAAATCAAAATACCACACATTGGGTAGCTTAAATGAGAGAAATTAATTTCGTCACAGTTCTGGAGGTTTGATGTCCCTGATCAAGGTGCCAGCAAATTCGGTTTCTGGTGAGGACTCCCAGTAGGTAGCCACCTACTCACTGTGTCCTTGAGTGGCCTTTCCTCTGTGCCATATGGGGTTACGGGGGAAAAAACACTCTCTGGTGTCTCTTCTTAAGAGGACGCTAATCCTATCACATCAGGGCCCCACCCTTATGACCTCATTTAACCTTAATTACTTCCTTGGAGGCTCCATCTCCACACTAGAGGTTACAGCCTCACCGTATGAATTTGTTTTGTGGGGGGACACAAACATTAGGTCCGTAACAATTAGGAATAGAGGGCTTCTCTTGGAACTCTTTCTGTCTACGCCCAGTGCATACTTCTGGATTTTGGATTACCTATGAGTCCAGGCCAGGAGATACCAAGGAAAAAACCCCAGGGAATTCACTGCTGGTTCAGTCGTATTTTAAATTCTGGTCTCCTTCCCCAAACTGCTTGCTACTGTTGACTTTTCGGAAACCTGAGAGAGCTGCTCTATGTACTCCCTCCAGGTTTTTAGTTGCATTCAGTAGGAGAGATAGGGTAATGTAAACCTACTCCATAGTCCCCAGAACTGGCTTTTACAAATAATTTCATTTGGTGTCATTTTGTTCTAATTGTGTTGCTCATATTAATTATAAAGTTAGATTTATAAAACCTCAACAATCTGATAGTTTCTGTGTTTTAATGGAAAAATGGATTTATTCTCATTTATTGTGATTGCTATTATGCTTATATTTTTATTTTCTATGTTTTCTTTTTTTCCTGCAACCTCTTGTTTTTATCTGAGATTTTAGGTCTCTATTGCTTTTTTCTTTTTCATTATGCATGAAGAATTATTTAGATTTAAGTTTTTAGGAGTTATTTGCTCACTACTGATTTTAGAATTCTAAAATGCTCTTTTTCTTAGCATCAAAAGAAAAAATAGATGAATTGGACTTTGTCAAAATTAAAAACTTTTGTGCATCAAACGACACTGTCAAGAAAGTAAAAAGACAACCCACAGAATGGGAGAAAGATTTGCAAATCATATATCAGATAAGGGTATACTATCTAGAATATATAAGAACTTCTTACAACTTAACAACAAAAAAGACCAACAACCCAATTGAAAAATAGGCAAAGGACTTGAATAGACATTTCTACAGAGAAGATCTACAACTGGCCAACAATCACTTGAAAAGATCTGCAACATTATTAGCAATTAGGGAAATGCAAATCAAAAGTGCAATGAGAGACCACTTCAAACCCACTGGGACATCTTTAATTTAAAAAAAAAGAGGAAAATAATAAGTGTTGGAGATGATATCGAGAAATTGGAACTCTCATATGTTGATAGTGTGGGAATGTAAAATGGTGCAGCCACTGTGAAAAATAGTTGGCAGTTCCTGAGAAAACTAAACATAGAATTACCATATTGACTCAGTAATTTTACTCCTGGGTAAATACCCCAAAGAACTGAAAACAGGGTACAAACAAAAACTTGTACACTACATTTCATAGCAGCATTATTCACACTAGCTAAAAGATGGAAACAACCTAAATGCCATCAACAGATGAACGGATAAACAAAACATGGTATAGCCATACAACAGAATCATTCAGCCATAGAAACAAAAGAAATTATGGAAATGTTTTGAAACGAGATAGAAGTGGTTGTTGCACAACATTGTGAGTGCACTAAATGCCACTGAGTTGTTCACTTTAAAATGGTTAATTTTATATTAATCAAACAAAGGGGTAGTTGTGTGTGATTAATGATTAATTTCACCTCAATAAAAAGCTTTTAAATTATTATTAAAAACAAAAGCAGTGAAGTGATTGTTTCATTGATACACACTACAACATGGATGAAACATGAAAACATGGTGAGTGAAAGAAGCTAGACACAGAAGGCCACTTATTATGACTCTGTAGAGACAAAAAGCAGATTAGTGGTTGCCAGGAGCTGGGTAAAGGAAGAAATGAGGAATGATTCCTTCCTGGCCACAGAGTTTCTTTTTGGGCTGATGAAAATGTTCTAGAACTAGATAGTGGTGATGGTTGCACAACACTGGATGTACTAAATGTCATTAATGGTAAATTTCATGTTTATTTTACCATAATTTTTAAAAAGTTTATGTTGTAGTTAAGGCTAAGGTATTTTTTATTTTCTTCTCTTCACCTTTTTTATGGCCAAATAAAGGATTGAACAACAAAAACAACAAAAGCCATTCTGAAAGGATGGCATTGCTAATAAGCTATCTAATGGAGAAAAATAAACTATCTATCAAAGAAAAAAAGAGAGAGAGAGAGAGAAAAAAAGACACAGCTATCCCTTTATTTGATTAACTACTTGTGGCTTAAATTGTTTTATTTGAGAATTTATTTTCAGAGCACTTGAAAGGGACTGAGAAGATAAAAGGAACGTGACCCTCCCCCAGCTCTGGCTCTCACCAGACCACTTTCCAAAGACCCTGATAAGCCAGGCTCACAGAAAGGAGAGAGTAAAAAAAGGAAAAACAGACTCAGCCACTTCAGAGCTGCTTTTTGCTATCAGCTGACAACAATCATTTTTTTCTTTTTCGTTATCCCCATAAAAGCCCTGGGGCTGGCACTCCTTCATTCTTTCACTGTCATGCTGAGCTCTTTCCTCTCTCTTTTGGGGAAAGTAAAATAAACTTTTTACTTCTTTCTATCCTAATCTTTGTGTCAAGAATTCTTTCCCATCCCACGCTATGAGTCCCCACCCTAACGTTTGGTGGTCCGTATGGGGACCTCACTTACCTGCCTCTGCTTCAAGACTGCTCCTTTGTCAGCCGCACAACTCCCAGGACATCCTTCTTGCCCTCAATACCATTCAGAATTCGGCGAGTCTCTTAGGCTCTGAAAGTGGTTGCATGCTCGAGGTTAAGAGCGGTAGATTTTGTCTAGGTTTGGTCTAGAAGGGCAACCCAGTTCCCTTATGCCCCTTTGTAATTAATCCCCAGCCTCCACCTTCTAGGACAACCACTGTTGTAATTTCTTTCACTATGTTTTTGCTTGTTCTTGAACTTCTTAGAAATACAATCACACGGTATGTCCTCCTTTTGTGTCTGGCTTCTTTCCCTCAGTATGATGTGTCATTGGTCTGTGCTGGTGTATCCGTAGTGTGTTCTTTGTTATCGCTGAGTAGGAGATTCCATTTTGTGAGTGTAGCATGGTTTTTCTCCTTTGGAACATTTGCCTCTTTCTAGTTTTTTGGCTATTGTGAATATTCTAGTATGTCACTTCTCTGGGCTAAATGCCTAGGAGAGGAACTGTGGGTCATATGACAATACTTACCTGGCAGGAGAGTGTGCATTCTTGAGTTTTCCGTCTACCGTTTAACTTCCTCTAGTTGCTCTCACACCTTGCAGATTTGCCTCACACTGCCCAGCCTGTAGGGGGTGGTGTGGGGACCACAGAGAGAGCAGTGGACTTGAGGGGTACAGGAGCTGGGGCTGGGGCCACCCCAAGTTCCATGTCTGCACTGCCAGACGCTGCCTATCCCCCCACCTGAACGGCAGGCAGCAGCCTCCTCCAACTGTACACCCCCTGCGGCAGCAGCCATGTGTGTGATCTTCTCCCTGGGGAAAGTGGAGCCTGCTGCTTCCTCACCTTCGGTGATCCCCGTGGCACGTAGCACAAAGGCTCAAGTCATCATCGTGGTCCCCAGGGTTCAGCCACACTCCCAGCCTGTCTCCCCCGTGCAGACCTCCTCTCAGCTCCTCACCTATCAGTTTAGGGCCTTGCTGTCCCCTCGTGAGGATGCCCCTTCTGCTGGGAGAGCTGGACTGTCCGGTAAGAGTGGGGTTCTCCCTGGGGAGGAGCCTGTGAGGCCTACGTGTGGGGACCCCAGCGCCAGGGCCCAGCTGGAACCTATCCTGGGCTGATGCTCAGGTCCCAGAGGGCTGGCTGGAAGACTCTGAGGGAAACTTGGCCTCAGCTCCTGCTGTCTACCCTGCTCAGGCCCTGGGAGGCTCTGAGCCCTGAGGAGATGACACTCCAGCCTTGCCCTCCTCCCCAGTGAACTTCATGAGCATCAGTACTAAACTGTAAAGTAAGAGCAAGGAAGGCCAGCAAACTTAGTTTCCTCATACCAATTGCTTGGATTTTTTTTTTTTAAGTAATATAAAAACACTAATGTGAACAAAAATGCATCCTTTTGCCTTCCAGGTTCTCATGTCTCCCGGGCCACTCTGGCTGGTCAGTGTTGGCAGCCAGTGTCACCCACACCTCTGTTCCCTCAGGCCTCCAGACAGCCCTGCTCCCGGGCCCTACTGCCCTCTGCACCGTGACTTTCGGTAACTTTTGTTGAATGAACAAAATAATGTTTACAGCAACTTTCACCTTTAAAATCGATTTACAGAGACATTTCTTTTCCAAGCACAGATGGTTATTAAAATGGAAAAAGAAAACCATTCTGGAAAGGAGACGGGGAGATAGCGGTTTGCTGTAAAACACGCTGCCATTTCTGACGAGGAGAGCCTTCTCCAAGTCACTTCCCCTTTCCTTTGGCTGGTGCTGCTGCCGGGGCTGGTGCTGCTGCTGGTGGCGCTGCCTTGCCCTTGTCTGCTTCTGGTCCCTGAGCCTGGTCAGGTGGCTTTTCCTTTCCTGGAGGAGGAACCAGCACATTCTTTTTGACCTTCTTGCCTTTGAAGTGGTTTTTTTGCAAACATATATCAATTAAAGCAAAAAATCCAGCCACACCCATAAGGATCTGGAAAACAAAAGGACCCTCGTTACTTTTGCTGTTCATTGCAAAGGACATGTGTTTCCCACTGCAGGGGCAGATGCTGCTTAAGACATCCCCTGGGACTAACAGCCCTGAGAGGCCCTGAGTTGGCCCCTCCCTCTGCCTCAGCTTTCTCCATCGCCACTGTCCCATCATCGCATCTTTTTCTTTTCTCTCTTTAAGCCCAGTCAGAGTGCGGCCCTTTGCCCCGGAAGCACTAGCAACGAGCCGGAAGCCGTTAACTTGGGCGGGCTTCCTGGACACCATCTCTACTTAAATGGCAACTCCACTGGAAACATTTACCAACTTTACTTTTAAACTTTGCTTTGATCCCAAGATCTTTGTGAAAAGAAGCCTTTTTCTTAAGCAGGGAAAACCACCCATGTTCCGAAAGAGGTGAATTCAGAGCAAATGCACAACCAGACAGGGAAAGGCTCACCAGACCAATCAAGTAGACCGTGGGCAGGGATGACCGGATTCTCACGGCGAAGACCACGGCTCCCACGAGGAAGGCAAAGGCGATCAGGTCGTTGAGGAGGTCCTGCAGGTGGGGGACAGCGGTCAGCCTCAGGCAGGGCCAAGGCCCCCATCAACACTTGACCCAGGGTGGCTTCCTCCAAAGGAATGATGTTCAAACTTCTGCCTAATTTTTAAATATGAGGATAAATACACACCAGGCTGGGTGGACGTACCTGTGCCCCAGCCCCCCGCGGGGCTTTCTGAGTTGAGACCCAAAGTTCAGGATGCTTACCTGCCTTGAGGCTCAGGCTCCCTCCCCTACCATCTTGTCTGTGAAATCGCACATTTGGTGTCTAGTTATGTCTCCTCCTATCGAAACTTAAATAAATGTACAACTGTACAACTTAATGATGTCCCTTTTGAGGAATCCCCCACCTCATCTTTCTGTTCCCAGGGCCAATCTGGGTGGGCTGCACTGCTGGCAGGAGGCTCTGTTGGCCTCTGACACCTCCCTGGGAGCCTGGCAGTGGCCTCTCTTCACGCCTGCCCCCGGCCTACTTCCTGGACCTCCTACCCTTCTTGCAAGGCTGTACCACCTCTTCCTTCATTCATCACCCCTTCTCCCCATCCCTTGTGGCTTCGGTCTCACCCTCACCACGTACTTGTTTCCCTCACTCCACTGGCAAGGCCATGGCCATAGCAGGCTGGCTTTCCCCATCATCACTCCTGCGGGGAGGGGCTGGGGTGAGAGGCAGCGGATCCTGCAGCCTTTGAGCACACCCATCATTCCCCTTGGTTTCCGTGATGGCATTTTCTGCTGGCTGTCCTTTCCTGGCCACTTTGTCTCAGGCCTTTTCTTTTCCTTTTTAATGTTTTTAATTTTGGTACATTTCAAACATACAGAAAATAATAGAACATCCACCCCCACTTCCACCTCTACCAGGCCACTGAGCCACTGAAATTCAACAGATGTTAATGTCTTGCAATATTAGCTTCAGGTCTCTTTAAAATAGGGAGCTGCAGTTCCACCCTTCCATCCCTCTTCCTGTCCCCCATTTTTGTCCTCCCAGAGGCAGCTACGCATTGGAAGTTGATGTGTAGTTTTCCTAATCTGTATTTGTATTTTCCTGCATATTATATAAACAATATATGCTATTTTGTAGGTTTCAAAAATTTATATTGAAGGTATCATAGCTTCTAATATGTCTTGCTTTCTAAACTTAATGTTTTTGAGATTTATCCACATTGAGAAGTATAGATTTAAATTATTAATTTTAACTGATACGGTCTATTGTATGAATAAATGAAACTAGAGAAAAGTGGTCTCTGCCTTTTAAAAAACTATTATTCTTACAAACTCTGCTGCAGTGAATGCCCTTGTCCGTGATTCCGGGGCACATACTCTCCTTGGCTAGATATTGCTAAGTTTCTCTCTAAAGTGCTTGTGCCAACTGACTCACACCAGTGATGGATAAGGTCCCATTTCCCTTGTCCTTGCCAACATCCAGGATTATCAGGTTTATTGATTTCTGCCAATCTGATGAGTTGAAATGGTACCTCACTGTTGTTTTAATTTTCATGTCACTGGTTACTAATGAATGTTTTCAAAAACATGTTTTAGGCATGTGGGCTTCCTGCCTATTCATACCCCTTGCCCATTTTTCTATTGGTTTGTTTTTAAAATTTTATGATGTTTCCTGTTGTAAAGTTTTGAGACAGAGTCTTGCTCTGTTGCCCAGGGTAGAGTGCCCTGGCATCAGCCCACCTCACAGCAACCTCAGACTCCTGGGCTCAAGTGATCCTCCTGCTTCAGCCTCCCAAGGACTATAGTCCCAGGACTATAGGCGCATGGCACCACACCCAGCTAATTTCTCTATTTTTAGTAGAGACAGAGTCTTGCTCTTGCTTAGGCTGGTCTCAAACTCCTAAGCTCAAGTGATTCTCCCGCTTCAGCCTCCCAGAGTGCTTCTTGACAACTCCTGATGGATGTTTCTTACTCCATATTCTATTCTCTCTCTTTCTTATTTTCTCTCTTATCTCTTAGTGCTATGTTCTGGGGAATTTCTCCACACCTTTAAGTTCACAAATTCTCTTAAGTGGTTTCTGATCTACTTTTGAACTCATCTATTGACATTTTTATGTCAATAACTATATTTTCTATTCTAGACGTTGTACTTTGTACTTTTAAAAAAATTGGTCTATTCTGTCCTCATAGTTTCTTCTTTTCTTAGGGATCTTATTTATGTTTATAATCATTTCAAATATATTTATTATTATTTTCAGACAGCTCTTCTATTATATTCTCAGGGTTCTAATCCTCCCATTAGTTATGTTTGCTGATTATTGATTCTTAGTCATGGAGATTTTTTTTTTCTTTTTTAAAATCAAGTGTTTGGTAATTTTGAATTGTTAGTCTATTTTTGACAGGGTTTCCATTCTCTTCATTCCTAAATCGTGATTTTGCATTTGTTTTGGTTAGGAGTCCCAAGGATATCATCAGAATATTATCAGATTGGGATCAATTTTTATGCTAATTCCCAGGCATGAAGGTTTCTAGGCTACAGGTAGCAAAAATTCAAACTGCAAATCTGTACAAAGGGAAGTCTCAAGGTTTCTATTTCTTAAGGAAGACCTCCCCTCCTGCCCCCACTCGAAGCTTGAGCAGAGATGAACATGCTTTCTTGTTCCAATGTGTTGGGGAAAGGTATATGTTTTTTCTGTCTATAGGGTCTATCTTTTCCCTAAGGGAGCAGTCTTTCCAGGGTGCCAGCTTTATGTAGGGTTCTCAGTTCTAAACCCCCACTTTGCTTGGGATCAAGGCCTCGTCTCAACTTGAGAGTACATGAAAACCCATACTGAGTTTCCTGAGACAATACCTCATGGGTGGTTCCCACCTCATAATTTGCAGCTTATGTGATCACTACCTGTTTTCCATTTCTGGTACCTGTGTGTTTCCCTTTCTTGTTTGCCAGCTCAGCCATTCGGTTAAAGCAATACTGGTTATATTTCCCTTAGTATTTTTAGGTAAGTACAGCAGGAAGATTTCCAGGGTTCATTGGTTTTTCATCTTGCTGGAGCTACAAGTATCTTCTCAGGCTCCTTGACTGGGAACTTGTCCTTTACCTGTCCTTTTACTTTGTTCTCTACTTGTTTCTTTCCCAAGAGTCCTTATTTGACCTTCTTCTCCTTTCTCTCTGTCCTGGAATTTCTCGCCCACCCGACCAAGACCTACGGATCTCTGGACCCTAATAAAGGAGGCAGGACAGAATGTAACGACAAAGCTGGGTTTGAGTCTTTTTTTCTGTCACTTACTAGCTGAGTGACCTGGGGGCAAGTTACGTGACCATTCTGAGCTCACTTCCTCACATGTAACATGAGTGAAACAGTGAGCAGAGGGCTTTAGAGGCAGGCTATAAATGTGCTGTGAACAAGGGGACTTGGGGTGCTCATTGACTGGCCGAGGGTAAGGTGGGTGTGCCTTGTTATTACATAGATGACGGGCAGGATTCAAGCCCATGAGACCTCAGGCACAGTGTCATGCAATTTACATTTAATCCTCAGGATTAAATGCTAATCCCACAAGTGACGATTACTGTCCCCATGTTACAGATGAAGAAACAGAAGCTGGGAGTGGTTTGGTAGCTTGCCTAGCTCTGTCTCCTTCCACTAGACAATTGCTTTGAGCTGAACATTCTTCTGAACTAACCATCCTTTATAGGGATATTCATTAGAGACCTAAGGCTGCTTTAGAAATGATTTAAAAAAAACCCCTCATTTTGTCTTATTGATTTTGGGGAGACTGATTTCCTTCTTTGAATTCTGGGGATGAGGTGCCTTCTGGGGTGATTGCCCCAATCAGGTGTGAGCTGGCACAGGAGTTAGGAGGCACAGTTGGTTGCTACACCTCCCCTTCCCTCCCTCCAAGGAGAGCAAAGGCTCAGGCCCACCAGATATGTAAGAGTTCCCTATTCTCATCCCAACACACAGGTAGGCTTTTTTGGAGCATTTTCTGCCTAGCTACCCCTCCCCTCAGCAGCTGCCCCTGCTTGGGCCCCACTGGAAGTTGCCGAGCCCATGACCGGAGCAAAAATATGGGAGGTGAGGTGTGTCTCTCTCTGTTCAGTCACTTCCAGGTGCCAAGACACTCAAGTGAACAGCACAGGGGCTGAGGATACTCCCCACCACCCCGCACTTACAGCAATAGGCCACAGGATGAAGGGCATGTATCTATTGATGGCAAAGGTGTAGACGATCATGAAGAAGCTGAAGATGGATATTTCCATGGTGATTAAGAGCGGCAAGATGGGGTGGACCGGCATTGAAGACAACACTACCAGCGACGCTATCAGGCAGCCCTGCAGCGAAACAGACGCCTGAGCCAGCGGCAAAAAGACTCTCACGGACTCCGGAGCCTCTCGGAGGAACCCCGCAGCCCGCTCCTCCTCTCCCCTCCCCTTGTTCGTGGACCCCCACCGGGTACACCAGTCCAACTCACCAAACTCAGAATCTTGACCTCGGCGTGCCCCATGACCCAGAACTCTTTATTGCTGTCCTTGAACTCCCACCAGTAGCGACGACATCCCTTCCTTGTGCCTACTTCATGCTTGGGCTGCACTGACTTCTTTTTTGGTTCCTTTTCTTTATCTTCATCAGCCTGGCCCTCACCCTCCTTCTTTTCCGGGGGTTTGGCCACTGCGGCTGGAGGTGGAGGCGGAGGCGGAGGTGGAGGCGCAGGCGCAGCCGCGGCCTTGCCCTTGCGTTTTTCCGCCATCGCTTCGTGGGAATCCGGGCGTCTCACAGCCTGCCTACCGTCTCCGGCTGTCTCTGGACAGCGCCGGCCAACAAGAGAGCCTGGTGTTCACCGGCCTGATCGGAGGCTGCGCCCAGCCAACTGCCAGGACCAGCGAATGCCAACGCCCGCGCGTTCTTTGCGCGCGGCCGCCTCACCTCGAGGCCCGGTGCTGGTCTCACCTACCCAGCAGGGGGCCCGATCCACCCACTCTCCGCGCAGGAGCCCCCGCCAAGTCCCACCTACGTGCGGAGCTCCCCTCCAGTCCTAGCGAGGCCTCGCGCGGGGGCGTCAGGTCTGTAGCCCCAGCTCCCGCCTTCAGGCCTGGTTGGCTGGAACCCGGTCCGGCCCTCACCACCACCTCCTGAGGCAGCGCGCTCTGAGCTCCCCGGCGCCGCGTCGTGCACATGAAAACATAACGCGACATTTACACAAGGCAACACGAGGAAGCAAAAGTGTTCCCGACTTAGCAGCCCTGATTTTATGGTCACATGTAGGCTGGAATGGGTGACAGCACGTGAGCTCAGGGTGGGCGTGGAGGGAGTGATGTGACACAGACACGCATATCCGTGAGGGTGCTGGGGCTGGCTTCAGCGCGGACATCAGCTGGGCACCTGGTCAGGGGAGCTCTTGGTTTCATATTTGACTCCCAGGACACTTTTCACGTTATTCCTCATCCACTTGGTGACCACAAACGCATCGATGACACACGCGATTGCCGCTGCGAGACACAGGGTCTGTCAGACACAAGACCATGTATGGGAAGGAGAGGTGGGGTTATTCTGCAGCTCAGCAGCAACCTCTGGAACCTATCCCTATCCAAGGCGGGAGCTGCCGGCAGCCTCCTGTTCCCCTCTGACCCTCCACTGCTCTCTTGATGTCTGCCCAGCTGGCTGCTGCAGGCCCATTTTGCCTTCTCAGAAAAAGGGATTTTGGAAATGGTGGGTTTTGTTGCCAGTAGAGGCTTTGCCTGTGAGGCACCAGGAAAGGACCAGGGAAGTGCGCTGGACCTAGAAGGCTCCAGGTAGGGGTGGGGTCCTGAGAAGTCCTCTCAGAGGAAAGGACTCTTGGGCTACATTTCAAAGTGCAGGAAGGAATTCCCAAGGGGACCAAATGGGAGGAAGAGAACTCTAGGCACTGGACTGGGGTCTCTAAGGAATCTCAGGTGGCCAATACCTTTGGAGCCACCAAGAGAAGGAGCAGAGTTGAGGCTAGGGTGGTACCGGATCTGGTACTCTATCACTTGAAGAGGTCAAGTATGAGACTCAGAAGACCAGCTTGCTGTGGCCATGAGGGGAATGGAAAGAGAAGCAGGCTGGAAGCAGGGGGTGGGGCTGCTGCCATCCAGATAAGAATTGATAGAGATCTAGGGGTGGAAACCTCTCCCAGTAGAAGGCTGGGTTGCTGAGTTAGCAGAGGGGGACCAGGGGCCCATGGCACCCAATATTTCCTGGTGCTCTGGGACTCTTGCCAGCCTTGGATGTTTCTCTTTATGGTCAATTGATTTCTGGCTGTTCAATGAACTTTTCCTGGGCTGATCTTGCCCCATCTAATCTGTGAGCTTAGCTCTATCCTCAGCACTGAGCTCAGGCCTGGCACAATCCAATAGGATTGACAGATATTTACTGATTATGGAATGGATTAAAAGAACTTAAACTCTTTTGTTTTTCTGGATTAATTTCTGCCCCCATTGTTTAACTTCTTGAACCAAAATCCTACCTCCCCACTCCCCCCATCTTCCAAGCATTTGATCTGCCATTTCTTGTGTTCTTCCATATGACGAGGGTTTGTGTTGAGTCCTAGTTTGTCCCAGCCTTGTGACCCAGAGCAAGGTATTTAACCTCAGTTCCTATATCTGTAAAAATGAGAATTGTAAAGATTAAGTTAAAATGTGCCTAGCTTGGTACAGGGCATGTACTAGGCACTTCAACATGTGGTAGGTTTCTTTCTTCCTTCCTGAATAGGCTGGGTTACTCACTTTTGACAATGCACCTTTTTTTCCCCTACAATCCCTCTTTTCATCTGTATTTTTTTGGGTTGGGGGACAGGGTCTTGCTCTGTTACCCGGGTTGGAGTGCAGTGGCATGATCATAGCTCACTGCATCCTCCAACTCCTGGGCTCAAGCGATCCTTCTGCCTCAACCTCCCCGAGTACCTGGGACTACAGGCATGCTTCACCACACCTGGCTAATTTTATTATTTTTTGTAGAGATGGGGCGTCTCTATGTTGCTCAGGTTGGTCTCAAACTCTTGGCCTCAAGCGATCCTCCTGCCTTGGCCTCCCAAAGTGCGGGGATTATAGGCATGAGCCAGCATACCTGGCCTCATGTCTTTAAAATAGAATTCTCCAGTCCAAAAAAAAATCAAAGTCCTATTTATAGACAAAAATATCTTGTTTAACATTTCAAAAATAGTATGGACAATTCTCAAAAGGGGTTCAGCAGACTCTTGTTTTCATACCTATTTGGAAAGTGCATATAAGAGTTAAGATTTTCATGAGCTTAGAGTTTGTGCAACTTCACATCATCTGAAGAAGTCAGTGCACAAAGGAAAAGGGGTGGTAGTAGGTATTTTGTTTGGTTAATGACAAAATGATGCTGTGCCACTTTCCTTTTTCAGACACTTGGAATATTGATCTTAAATGGAGTCATGAAGGCCTCTACTTACCCCTCCAACATAGAATAAATGCCTTCTTTCCTTTTCTCGCATAGTCAAGATGGCAACTACTAAAAGGAACACAGCTGAAATGATACTGTTGATAAGATCCTGTAATACAGAATTGAAAATTATCAACTTTACATGAAAATACAATTGCATAAAATATTTAAATTGGTCAATTACCCATCTAAGGAGGGATGCCTTTTAAAAACTTCCCTTTGATTAAGAGGAACCCTCAGAGGCATAATTCTTATGTCTTCCAGAGATATGAGTTTATGTGACTTTAAGGTCCTGGATAGGACTTGTCTGCAGAAAACGGGTTTATTTTCATTAAAGAACACCATAAGGAAAAAAAAAGCTGGAAACTTTTCCATCAGATTTTTCTTAAAGGGCATAGGAAAGCGAGCATGAAAAAACTTAGTGGTCTAGGGGCCTAGCCCAAATTGGCCACCCATAAATATGAGTTTTGGGGAGAGTCTTATATTTTAATGTAAATTCCACATTCTATTCTTTACCACATTTGTTTTAATATAAAAATAAAATTTTAGATTAGCACTTTACTGATTTAATTCTACTCCCAAATCTGCAGGTAAAACCAATGCTCTGGAAATTGGGTCACATTTATTCTGTGAGTTCACGTGTCCCAGGAACACACAAATCCACCTGAAGAGTAGGCCTGATATTCTGGAGTGAATGGCTGTGCTATTGACTTTTGCTCTTTCCTGAGACATGGCCAGAACGGAGTCTGCCCTGACGTCTACAGGATCCCTGTGTCCTTTCTTCTGCATTTCAATTGGATTTAAGTACTGAGTTCTTTAACTGCTAGCCTAACCTGCTTCTTTGTGTGCTGAGATAAAGGGTGAGGATGAGTGAGTGGGTGTGTCCCTCTAAGTAAGCAGAGGCTGAACTTCAGTGGCAGAGCAGTAATGGAAGAGAGAGTACTCAACACTTCAGTGACACCAGTGTATGCGGAGGGGCAAAAGCCCAGGGCGATGAAACTGTAATACAGCCCAGATACCTAATTTGCACATTTAAGTCTTTAAGTCTTGATGTCCTGACTTGGTAGTGGTAGCCTGTCTGGTGCACAGCAAGCACTGCCATCCAGTGTACGGGATCATGATGGCTCCAATGGAGCTCCCCAGTGTGCTAAGGATTTTCCAGTTATTATCTCATTTAACCCTGAAAGAGCAATCCTCTAAGTCAGTATTTTTATGATTCCCATTTTACAGAGGATGTAATCGAGGCTTAGAGGGTTTTTTAAAGTCACCTAATATTGAATAACTGGGAAGGAGTGGAATCAGAACTCGCTATTGCTTTCCATCGGGGACACCAAAATGAGGAAATGAACTATCCCCCTATGCTGGAAGTGCAGCATCTAATACATCTTTGGCATTTTCCACGGAACGGGTCTGGAGGGTCAAAACAGTAGGGCACATATAATTTGAGAGTGATTTTTGTTGATGAATTCTTTTGGCCTGCCAATTCCTAGATGTGTGACCTGCGGCATGTTTTATCACCCCTCTGCCACCTTGCTAATTTTACTATGGGGATAATGACTGGGATGCATTGGGTTGATCCCAGGCATGGTGAATCTGAAAGCATCTGATAATGAGCCTAGCATCTAGTAAACAGTGGGAGTGCACCAAGGCACAGATTCATGATATCTGCCCTCAAAATGGGCATAGATAGTAAACTTCTGCAAACCCCAGTTGTTTTTCCTATTGAGGTTAGCCAACGAGGAGCTCTATTACGGAATGTGACGTGACTCTTGGAAGGGCACAAAAGCCTACTGTTTTTTGGCACCTGATGGGTGACACTGGCACAGGGGCATGGAGCAGGGATGGTGAGGATAGAAGTCAGTCCCAGCTGGGTTCTGCAGGCTGAGTGAGAGGTCTGCCCACAGTAGGCAGGCCTGACTGAGGCAGGTACAATGGTTTGCAGCTTTGCAGAAAGCTTAGCACCTAAGGATTGTGTAAACCAAGCTATTCAAAGATTTGAAAGAGGATTCTTACAACTGAAAAGTGGAGTGTAAACTTTCAAAAATCAAAATTAACTAGCTATGGTCCTAGATCATTGAGAATTTAAGTGAAGCAAATTAATAATTTAGTAATAATAGGCCAGCTACAGACTAGGCCCAGCTGATCTTTGACTCCTTGTCATAATTTTGTCTCCTCATTAGATGATTGGATGTTGTAGTTTTACTCTGGTTCTTACTTACAAAGAAATGCTCTCTTGAACTGTCCGTGGGAGCTAAGGTTTGCCCTGTACCTAACATTTCTATTACAACTCACATTTATTGAGCACTTACTATGTGTCATGCACTGTGCCGAGGTGTTAATATGTGAACTCATTTGATTCTCACAACAAGCTCGCATTATTTCCAATTTATAGGTGGGTAAGCAACTTGCCAAGGGTTACTCAGCCAGTAAGTAGCTATGACCCTTGGCAGTTTGACTTGAATGCCCAAGGGACTTCTTCCTAACTAACCCCCCTCTCTTTTGCCTTAGACACAGACCCTCTTATTGGCTTCCTCTGGACAGGGAGACAGCTATCCCTGATGGCTGGGTTAAAATTGCAGCTGAGCTTGGCCATGTGCAGGACTTCTGCTTTCCCCATAAATGCCATCCTTACTCATTATCTTTTTCTTTCTGCCTAAATACCCTATTGACTCAAGTAGCCTCCTCTGACTAAAATAAGAAATGTTTGTCACTTGACTATAATTTTTCCATAAAGCTCCCAAATTGTTCTTTGAGATGTACAAAATTGTGTAGAATTATAACTGGGAAAGAAAAAGTGCCTTAATGGTGAATGCTTATTATTAAAAAACACCCCTGAATATTAGAAAGAAAGTTAAACACTTATAATTTGTTTTACAAAATGTAGTATTTGTAATAGGAATTTACAGACAATGAACATTATCTGGTACTCAACTGACTGCAACTTTCGTTGGTTTCATTTGTGCCTGGAGTTCTTTTTATTTAATTTATTTTTTTATTTTTTGAGATAGAGTCTTGCTCTGTCGCCCCTCCTAGAGTGCAGTGGCATCGTCATAGCTCACTGCAACTTTGAACTCCTGGGCTCAAGTGATCCTCCTGCCTCTGCCTCCTGAGTAGCTGGGACTACAGGTGTGTGCCACCATGCCTGGCTAATTTTTCCTATTTTTAGTAGAGATGGGGTCTCGCTCTTGCTCAGGTTGGTCTCAAACTCCTGAGCTCAAGTGATCCTCCCACCTCAGCCTCCCAGAGTGCTAGGATTACAGGTATAAGCCACCACACTCAGCCCTGGAGTTCTTTAAATGCATGGCAGAGCCCGCTTAGAAATCACAGGGATTTCTGTTTTTCATTAATCTTATTTGAAGGGGACATTACTTGTTACTTATAAATGTAAAGACATTGCTGGTAGTTTTGGAATCATCGCTTCTATAGAGTTTTACTCTAAAATAAGTTTATTATATTCTTTTTAAAAAATGGCTTTCTATTGGCAAAAACATCTGCTTGACCAGAACTCAGGTTCTCTGACCATGCTGGATTATATTTTTTTACAGTGTAGAAGTGTTTAAAGTATGGACTATTCAGAATACAATAATTATAATTCATACTTTCTTGGGTATATTGGCAGATGACACTAGACTAGGGCAGATAAAGCTGATAACTCTAAATATGAAGACAGTGTGGTGGGGGTGAGCAAAGTTGTATTGTTGCTAGCTTTGATGCAGAGTCATGCTGATAAAAAAAGGGCTTCAATTTTAAAATGGTAGATTAGCACTTTATTTACTGATTTAATTCCACTCCCAAATTTTCAGGTAAAACTAATGCCCTGGAAGTTGGGTGACATTTATTCTGTGAGTTTACATGTTCCCAGAATGCACAAACCCATCCAAGGAGTAGGCCTCACAGGCCCTAACAAAGGTTAGCAGATGAGAGCTGGACCTGCACCCTCCCCAGAGTGTCAGGGTCCCTGGCACAGCCTTCTCAAGAAAAGGGCAGCTGTACCTCAGAAACTTAGTGTGGGTCCCCAAGCCCTTGCTCCACCATCTGTTCAGAGAAGGTGGCCTTGACAAAATATGGTCCCAGAGCCCACAGATCTCAGCAGGTCACCTGTATCTGAGGCCAATACTCTTCTTGAGGCTTCCCTGCTGAGGGTCTAAAGCCTTGATGTATCAGACTTTCTATTTGCCTCCCTGGTGGGGAACTGTACCCTCACCCCTTTGTCAAATAAGAATTGGAATGGGGAAATAAGGAAGTGTATCCTTTCAGGAGACTTTAAGTTAGAAATCGTCACTTAAAAGTCAGTACTCCTTACCCTAATCCTATACCTCCCGGGAACCAAACCTTCTAGCATGGAGAAAAAGGCTGAAAGGAAATGGCAGCTGTGCATCTTGCATGCCTCTAGTCTATGGGCAAGCCTTTGAGCCTATGCAGAGCTTGAAAACAGTTCCAGTATGAAATAGGCTGTGTGTTCTGCGGCTTCCCACACTGACCCTGCGATAAGATCCCAAGTGGCTCCTGTAGCTTGAGGCTAACACATCTCCAAGTTCGTCTATCCTCTGAAGTGCCAAGTCATCACCTTCTAGCACCGATACCCTCACTAATGTAGCACATCTGCTGTGCCAAGACCTCCCTATTAACACCCAGTGGTAGCTACTTGTCCCTCTGAGAAATCATTTATGTACACATCTTTCATCTCACGGGATCTGAAAGGGCAGATTAGAAAGGAAGAGACTGGATGGGAGAAGAGAACACAATTTGGGTCCTGTGTTAATGGATTTTTCTCAAAAACTTCCAAGTCAGATCACTCACCATCTGACTGACTGTGTGGTTGCTCAATATGTGTACTGTTAGTTAACTGAGCATCAGAATAACTGGGCAAAAGATGTAGCCTCACTGAGTTCCTTGCCTTAAGGGAGAATGGAGATAAAGAAGCCATCGTAAGACAATAGTTTCGAAAGAGCTTGGACTTTAGAGTGAGACAGACCTGGGCTCAAATTTGAGTTTCAATGCACCTACATATGACCATGGGCAATTTAATCTCTTCAATCCAACTTTCTCATCTGTTAAATGGGGGGTGGGGGTGACTACAACCTCACTGGGTTGTTGTGAGGATTAAATAAGGTAATATATGAAAAAGTATCTGGCACATGGTATGTGCTCAAAAACGGTTACTTTACCTTCCCTTCTTGAAAATTTCCATGGACAGAGATTTTTAGTTTTCCCTCAGAAACCTCTCCATGGGTATAGCTCTCCACAACTAGGAGGGTCTTCCATATGTCCAATTACAGTTGCTGGTATTTTGCTTTGTCTGCTTCCTGTCACTTGGCACTCTGTGGGACAGAGAGAGCTCAGCAGCCTTTTCAGAAAATCCCTCACACATTTGAACAAAGTATTTGAGTTTTTTTTTTGGTCACTGGCCAAAAAAGCAACCAATCCTACTTTAAGGTTAGAAAAATGTGCTCTAAGGTAGTGGGATGTGGAAGAGGCCTGAGCTCCGAGTTGGGATTGTTCACAGTGCACGACAGAATGGCAAAAGTTGCCCAACTACCTTATGGGGTCTGACGGGTTGTTTTTCTTTTTGGACATTTTGTATTGAGTGTTCACTTTGTGCCAAGGACTGTGCTATTGGCTTCACACACATTTAAATGTTTCAGGAACCCTGAGGTAGTTATCATCACCACACTTTTCCTTCTCTGCATTTCTTAGGTGGGGAAACTGAGGCTAAAGTTTGCATAGCTAGTAAGGTGGCAGGGTCAGGAACTGGGCCCATGTCTGCCTCTGGACAAAACTGTACTGCCTCTCTAGTTTAAGACCTGAGGGATTAGCTTCAGGAATTTTTTCAGTTGGTAAACAGTGTACAAGGCTGGAAAAAGCTGTTGAAGGAGGCTGTGCAATGTCTTTTTCTGGATCGTCTGCCATATGGCACCCCTTTGAGAGTATGGACCCTTAACACACACTAAAAGGTTGACTCTGCAGTCTTTCAGGGGATGCACAGTAATTTTATACAACTCTGTCATGTCGACTCTTGCTTTGAGGTGGATGTTTGTAATCTGAAAGAGTGATGTTTGAAAAGTGGAAGCATACACTGTTTTAGAAGCAATGTGTGAGATATGTATTTACCTACTGAATGTATTAATTAAAATTTTCTTTAGGACAAGCTGAAAGTATCACGTTTTAAGTATGTTTAAGTATGAGGGATTTTACACTCAGAGCTGGAAGTGGGAATGTGTGTTGGCCCTCCTATAGGGTCCAAGGAATCTTTCTGGGTATTGGGTTAGGTTTTGTCCCAGGACTAGAGCAACACCCTAACTGTCACAGTTCAGCTATGTCCTTGTCTAGAGAGATAGCTCTGTTGTTTTTACTTGAGGAGAGCCTTTACTCTGGGGTTGAGGGCAAAGCTTATAGGCAAATTATGAAAATGAACACTTACAAGTAAGGGCCAATGTAAATAAGTCAGCAAGTGGTGAAGGGTTAGCATATATATTAGAATAAAAAAAAGGACGATGCTGATTTCCAGAACCGTGATTGCGATATATGACTCATTGGCTTCAACGATGATGAAACAGGCTAATGCTCCTATGATAAACCCCTGCAATAAAAGAAATAGGATTTTTTTTAACGCACATGGCTATTAAAAGAACATAAATTGTCACAATGTAAATCTGATTACGTTGCAGTTGCCTGAATTGTTTCGCACATACATTGTTAAAATTTTATATTTTTAAGAAATGAAACAATGCATTCAAATAATAACAATGCACACAGAAGAGGAAAAAATATCAATTTCTTTCTCTTACCCCAACCCAACCTTAGTCTCTCTCCTTAAAAGTAACCACTATTAATAGTTTATATTTCATACTGGAAAGAAGTATGTATATGTACTGGTAAAGTAAAGTAAATAGATACTGATTTTGATAGAAAGAGTAAAATAGAGCCTCCTTTTCTTTCTTTCCAAACAGCTACTGATTAGCTCAACATCATTTACTGGGAAATGCTGGTATTACCCCCATTGATCTGAAATACAACCTTTATTGTATACTAAATCCTCAGATGTATTTGGTTCTCTTTTGAGAATGTTCTTTCCCATTGAGTTGCCAATTTCTTCTCTAGTACTTTTTAAATTATAGACAATTCATTTTATATTGTATTATTGTTTGACCTAGTTCTCCTTTTATTACTTGTTCTCAGACTATTTAGTGTTTTGTAAAAATATCTCTCAAGAGAGTTTTAAAGTTTTCTTCATACATGTGTTTCATACTTTATTTCATTTACTCTTAGATATTTGATCATTTTGATTGTTGTAAAAAGAAACATTTTCTTATATTTTAAGTGGTTGTCTTTTAGTTTTAGTTTATTTAAAGCTTTTATTTATTAATTTAATAATGAGTCACCTAACTAAATTATCTTGTTCTAAATTGTTTCCAGTTGACATGAAGTTTTTTAGATATAATCATATCAGCTTAAAGAAATTATATATTTTGCCTCTTATTTTCAAATATTCTTATTTCTTTTTCCTAATTGGGATGACTAGTGTTTCCAGAAAAATCTTGAATACCAGTGTTGCTAGTAGGCATCCTTTTTTTCCTTCATTTTAGTGGAAATACTTCTGATGTTTTATTAAATATGAGGCTTTTAGTTTGCAATGTTTATTTTTATAATGCCAATGAAATTTCTATGTATTTCTATTTTACCGGTCTTTTTTCTTCTTCTTGGAAATCAGGGATGAATGTTTAATTTTGTCACATGTGTTTTGCACTCTATTGGATATAATCTCAAACTTTTTTTCCTTTCGCTTACGATATGGTAAATTATTATATAGAGTCCTAATATTGAATCATTTTTATGTTTATTCCTTGCGGTATATTTTTTAAAAAGTACTGATGAATATTTTCTGCTAATATAATAATATTTTGCTTTGATACAAGTGAGATCTCTATTTCATTTTCTTTTTCTGAACTTGGTCAGATTTTGCTATCAGTGTTATACTGTCTTTGTAAATATAATTCAGAAGTGTTTCTTCTTTCTCTATTCTTTGATAAGGTTTGAGTAGTGTCAGAATTACATCCAGTGAAGGTTTAACTTGTGAAGAAGTCTGGGCCTGATGCATTTTTGAAAGATACTCATTCGATAAAGTTCTTATTTTCTTCTGTGTTTATATTGGTCTGTTTAGATTTTTCTCTATTCTGGGATCAGCTTTGGTTAATTTGTATTTTCCCAGAAAAATCAACCAATTATTCACATCTATTTGTTTTGCAAAGTACTCCTGCAGATCCTTTCAGTTTTATCAGTGTTTGTGATTATTTTCCCATTCTGGTTTTTAACTTTAAATATACGTCCTCTCTTTCCCCTTTTTTTCTTGATTATATTGGCTAGGGGTTTATCAATTTAATAGGCCTTTCAAATGACTACTATTGTATTGATCACATCTATTATTTTTGTTTGCTAATTTACTAATTTCTGCTATTATCTTCATTGCTTCCCTAATTCCCTTTATTGGGGGAAACCTGAGAAATATAAAAGACAAGGGGAAAAAAGCCAAATTTAGTAGTAAGGGTTGAGTGTGTGTGTGAAGGAAAGGGGGATGGGGAAGAAAGGTGTCCCAAAACAAAGGTGGAAGGCAAAGCAAATTAAGGAAGTTTCTGGAGGTGGCACCCCCTGGGGCATCACGGCCTCCTACATCCGTCCAGCTAGCTCACTAGCTCTCTGCTCACCATTCTCAGGATCTTCAACATTCCAGTGGGTGAGAAGAAAAAACGTTTGAGGCTGTCTCTGAATTTCTGAGGGACTTTGGCCCGGCCCTCAGCACGCTTTTTGACCTCCTCCTCCTCAGCATACTTTTTGATCTCCTCCTCGGCTTGCTTTTTGGTCAACTCCTCGGCAGGCTTTTTGATCGTTCCCTCTTTAGCACGCTTTTTGATCATGCCTTCCTTTGAGCTTTTGGACAAACTCTGTGCAGAGGGCTTTGGGCGTCTGCTTTGGACAGATTTCTTTGGCAGTGCGACGCGCACTGCACGAACCGAGCCTTTGGCTTGCGGCGGAGGTGCATCACTCACCGAGATGGTGGAAGGCGCCGGGGGTGTGGGAGGCTCTGGCTGCAAGTTCGCTGGAAGTGTCTTGGCAAACTCACGTTTGGTGTCTTTAGGCTCCATGGTGGGTCCCCAGGGCCTGGCTGTGTCAGGCTGGCCCTGCAGGTCGGGAGCAGTGCCGCGGCAGCAGCTGGTTCTCTCCTGGGAAACAGCTTTGCGCCCCAACGGCTGCTGGCCACCTACCCGTCGCGCGCGCACCCTCGTTGCTGCCCCGCGGACAAGGTGTGCCTTCCAGCTCCCCTTGTCATCCATCACCCAGGATGCAACGCCATTGCCTACCCTGGGAACTCAAAGTCTCTGCAACCCCATCCCTCTGAGCTGCCAGCCAGCCAGGTAGGAAGAGAATTTGAAGAACATTTAAGGGCGGTCCGATGCATTCTTCCCTGCCACCCAGGCCCTCGATGCTCTCAGTGCTGCCCTTGGAGGTTATAGAAAGGCTGAATGCTGGGCACAGAATTCGGAAGTTCCTTCCTCCAGCTTCCTTATTGAGATTAGAATAAGAATAACTACAGAAAATACATGGAAGGGCCGGGTGCTGTGGCTCACGCCTGTAATCCTAGCATTCTGGGAGGCCGAGGCGGGCGGATGGTTTGAGCTCAGGAGCTCAAGACCAGCCTGAGCAAGAGCGAGACCCCGTCTCTACTAAAAAAAAAAAAAAAAAAAAGAAAGAAAATATATGGAAGAATAAAGAAATGTGTTTAACACTTAGTATCAAACTAAAAAGCAATATACAATTACAAAACAACTTTTTATTCACGAACAGGCTTTTTCTGATAAGGACCACTTGGATTGAACAGAAGCTTTCTGTAAATAAGGGCCCCATCGGCAAGACAGACCACTGCTGCCAAGAATCCAAACACCTGGGAAAAAAAGACACCTTTGTTACTGCCCCAGCCATGGTCCCAACTTCTGTTATTCACGCAAGTTTCAAATCGTCCCCCCACCAGATTCCTCTTCTGCTAGGGTACTGGGATTAGTCCCTGTGCTGTATCTAATAACAAAATGGGAAGGACTTTAGAGATCGTCTTATTCTCCTCATTGCTAAGTTTCCCAAATACCTGTCTACGGAAAGGGAAAAGATAATTTAAATGAGCACAAATACTGAAGTGGTGTGGACTCTGAAATAAAACCTGTCTGTGTTTATCTCTTGACTTGTTCCTGCATGTATTCTTTTAAGCCCTACTGATGATATTTAGTTATCAATCAACATATCTATCCCTCAGCATTCAACTATTTGATTTCCCTATTGCCAAACTCTACTGGAAAAAGGGTCAAAGTCAACACTAGCTCAAGATTAAATCATGGGGATCATAGCCATGATAAAAGCTTCAGAGACCTGGAGTGTAAGATGATCCAAAGTGAATTCTCAGAGGCTGGGCTACATCTGCTTAAGGGGTGGGATTCTAAACAGGCCTTAGGAAAATAAGACTGAGGTAAAGGCAATAAACTAGAATATGAATGGGCCTTGAGATACTCTGATGGCTATTTGAGAGCTGGTGCCTGGGATGGAGAAGGGGGATGTCACTCTTTGCATGCCATTTAGTTAGCTTCATCTAGTGGCCAGGAAGTCTTGCTTGAGCCTGTAGTCCCAGATACTCTGAAAGCTGAGGGGGGAGGTCTGCTAACTGAGTGTGTGGAGGGCAAGGGGAGGTGGGGAGGAAAGATGTGGCAAAACAAAGGTGAGTGGCAAAGTGAATTATAGAAGCTTTCCGGAGGTGGCGCCCCCTGGGCATCATTCTCAAGGCCACAGCCAGCCTGTATCCATCCAGCTTGGTCACCAGCTCTCTGCTCACCATTTCCAGGATGCCAGACACAGCTCCCACAGCTCCTGTCTCACCTGGAGTCTCAAGCCACTGCCTCCTAGGTTCTAACCACACTGAATACCTCCCATCCTTGTTTTCATGACTCTGGCATTCTGCATATCGCTGGTTCCTCCACCTGGAACCTTTTCCCTTTTATCCCCTTTGTTCTTGGCAAACTGCAATTCCGCTGTCAGAGAGAGGTAGTTGCTCCCTCTTTTCTGTGACCTGCAGCACTCTGTCAACAGCTTATATATAGCTGTTTACACTTCTGTCACCTGTCTTAAACTCTAAGCAACTTGAGGATAGGGCTCACATTCTAGTTCAGTGCTGTCCAAAAGAAACATAATGTGAGTCACTAATGTAAGCCACATAATTAAGATTTTCTAATAGCCACATTAAAAATGTAAGAAAAGAACAAGTGAAATGGATTTTAATAAATTTTGTTTAGCCCAATATATCCAAAATATTATCATTTAACATGTCACCAGTATAATAAAGTTATTAATGAAATATTCTACATTCTTTTTTTGGGTAATGAATCTTTGAAATTTAATGTGTATTTTATACTTACAGTTCATCTCAATTCAGACTAGCCACATTTCCAGTGCTCAGTAGTCACACGTGCCTAATGGCTACCGTACTGAACAGCACTGCTCTATACTTTGTCAGCACCTGCCAAAGTGCACTTAAGGAATGAATAAATGACTGAGTAAATAAGTGAATGAAAGTAAAGTCTATGCCTGGTATCTCTTTCTTCATAGTAGAGGGATAAGATTATCTTTAAAAACTGGGAGAAACTGCTGATGTGGCACTATCCCATTTTTAGAATAATTCTGATCCCTCAAGAAGTCACGTAGGGCCCAAGGAAGATGAAAACCATGGGTTTTGACATATATGGCTGTCTGAGAGTGGTAAGTTCTCCTAAGCAGTCCATACTATGAAAGAACAAAGAACTACGAGGAAGATTTATTTAAGTAGAATTTCTAATTCAATTCTCTAGATCAGAATCTATAGAAAAGCCCAACGATTTTGAATCTCCTACAAGAAATCTCAGAAGAATATCAGCTAGAACTGTAACTAAATTATGTGACTCATATTTTGTCTTGCCTTCTATGGTAAAAGTCCAATGGAACTGAATTGCTTCTCTTCAAGCAGTATTCAAAATCATCCTTTAGTTGCAAGGTTTCCTACCAACATTCCCTTATCATAAAGATATCCTCTATTATAGTCTGTCTGTAAGTCCATCCTAGAAGGATCTGAACAGCTCAAAACAGTTTTTCTCATCTTAACGAGTGCTATGTATCCTTTTCTTTAAAAGGAAGAGATATGAAACTCATCCATCATGTTTTTCTTTTGCTTGACATCTGGTTTCTCAGAGCTAAATGTTATAACTGATTCTAGCAGATTTTCTCAGTCTAATCTAGTCTTATATACCGATAAGAAATATGTAGGAACCTCTTTCTTTGGTTAACTCCAGTTCTAGTACAAAATCCTATTCCTTCATGTTAATCAGGGAAAGCATTTATACACTCAGAATATTAAGCCTAGGCACGGTATACTGGCCTAGGAACCCCAAGCTTTCTACTCTTGCATCCATTTGTCAAAAATTTGCATTATGATCAAACCCAAAGAAAGAAAACTTCACTTACCCCTCCAACAACTATCAATGTTGTAGTTTTTGGTATTAGTGCCAACACAGATATGATGACCAGGAATACTGTTGTTACCAGTGAGTTGATAATATCCTACAAACACAGAATAGGGAGGTCGGCTTTACTAGACCATGAAGTAATGCTACAAAAACC